TTTTGTGTAATCTATATTTCTGCTTCTAACAAATAAAAAAGAATATGTTGAATTTTTACCACGCTTCTTATACCGAAATGTAACATTTTAATTTTATTTGATTTGAAGAAATAATTTATTAATACGATTTTTTTCCAGTCTGTCTTATTACAAAGTCTATCCCAAGAAAGTTAATTTTAATAATGATTTATATTTATTTTTTTCCGAAAACTTTTTCTTAGATTCTGTTTTTACACTGCAAAATTTATTTTATTTATTTTATAAAAGTGCTATTATTTGTTACATAAAGTTAATTTAATATTTTTCTCTACAATATTATTCATACCACTAAATATAGTGATGATAAAATTCAATTTTTATGAGTAATTTGTATTTTTTTTCAAAAAGTATTTTTAAAAAACGTAAGTTGAATTTTAGTTTAGTTTACTAAAAAATATGAAATATGGGCAAATGTGATATTTTATATTACAAAATTAATGGAAAGTCATTTAAGAACTTTATGTAAAGTTAATGTCATAATTAAATTCAATAAATTTAAACCAATATTTTTAGATATTGTAAAAGAGGTGAACAAGATATTAAATATTAATATTGCTGCTAAGCCACGCATTTAGGTCATATTTTAAACTTTTACTTTTCAACTTCTATAACCATAAAACGTATATTTATACGGCAAAATAACTTAAAAATAAAAAGGTTAATTCTACGATTATTCTGTTTCATGCCATATTTTTGTTCTGGAATTTATAGTTCGGATATGGTTTCTGCTTCATTAAAACTGTTTAACAAATAATTAATTCAAAGATTAAAATGCATATAACATTTTTTACAGCCTTGTTAAATAATGGGAAGTGATGGGTCCGAAGCTGCTCAAATTATATGTTAATTGTAATAAAACCTTAGTAAAGTAAAAAATGTACCATGATTAACTTTTGGTAAAATTAACTTAAAATGTACCAAGTTACCAAGATTATCTCTTCGAGCCAAATGAATTACGCTCTTTATTATTTTTTTAATACCGCAGTGAACTACCGCAAACCTAAACCGAAACTGAAAATCTCGTCGTTCCATCAAGAACGACGAGATTTGATCTACTGGTCGTGACTTGCTCCATGAATTGGCTTTTAATTGGGTACCTTAAGAAATTCGCGATACCTAAGGTTTAAAATTAATTTAAAAAAAATGAAAAAGCTTTCTTGAAGCTTTCATTTTTAGCTTCAATTGAAAGCTAAAGGATTTCATTTACTATTTCCAGTAAGTAAAATACTCTGGTATAATTCAAACAGAAATTATATTGATTGGAATCGATTTGTTTTTTTTGCTAAAATAGCTGGTTAGCAACATTTTCTAGTCGTCTTTCATCGCAATGTAATTCACTATATTAAAAAATCTTCCAAAAATAAAATATACTTTTCTGAAGGAAATATTAGCTGATTTACAAAAATTTTCCAAAATAAAGTATACATTTCTGAGGAATATTAGCCGATTTAAAGTACAATTAATTTGATTTTAAACAAATATTATTTATTACGAATTTTTTAAGCAAACGGTAGCACAGTTTTTAACTGAAAGTAGCCATTTTTACGCTTTTGGCGCAACGATGACAACTTGATTGTTGTCTACGGAGGCGTTATCTGCAAAACAAAATTTAAGAAAATGATGTGAGCGTCTTTTTATATAATTTTTAAGTACTCAGTAATCTTCAAAATGTTGGAAAATATTCTCTTTGCAATCTAATTTTAGGAATATTGACTTTAAATTGAACGATAGCCATTGCTCTTATTTTCTTATAATGTCGTGTATGGTCGATTATACTTTCAAAAATGGCCACGTAACGTAATATTTTATATACATAAAAATAATTCAAAATTCTTTTAAAAATCTTGGTGTTCGATGACTGGTATTAAGCTTTAAGCTTTTCCATTTATGATTATTAAATATAGACTTCACTTAATAATAATATAATCTAAAAGGCTGAAATTAATACAATATTTTACATTTTAATTTCTCGAAATTTCATAAAATTAAATATTTGAGGTTAACAGATATAAAAAAAAAGTATATTTTTACCAAGATTTTATCTAAAAAAATTAAAAAATAAATGAATTCTTTTGTGAATAAGTTCTGAAAATTTCATTAAAATCCGACAATTATTTGATTTTTGCAAGAATTTCCAAATCAATGTGTTATTTTACCGGAAAAAGGCATCTTTAACGGACCGCCAAAATTTCGATCGTACTACAATGGCTTCATAAATTTATTAAAATAATAAAAAATACTTTCGTCTTTCTTCTTAATACTAACATCACCATTTCGACGATAAAACTTTGTTCTTACTAAGTTTGGGGCTTTTTTTTCGTCATGTTATACTATTTTTTCAGCGAATTAGTGACGGTATCTACTTTTAATAAAGATCGCCATGCATGAAACGCGCGATCCACCATAGATCACTATCGAATGCAACTGAAATCGTATATAACTACTAAGGGTAGCACACACT